GCCCCTTGTTCAAAGATTATACTATAGATTATAGCATCCCATAGATGTTCAAGGACCGCGGGCACATGAAAGAAACTAAGAACGACTTTAGCAAAACTCATGGAACGTGGCAACCTATTTGGTATAAACAGAAAGCAAGAAACTAACCCGGAAGTGAGAAAATAACTCTTTAGGCTTCATTTTCTACTCTGGAAAAGACAAGTAGCAGTAAAATACTCCCCACGGGTCAATAATACACGTACATACACAGACACACAGAACCATTACTTATCTCTAGCTACAAGAAAAAGCATCGAATTATCACATATAAATGCCTTAGAACTACGCCCTAGCAGAGATAGGAACTGATACTTTCCCGAAATCATTAGAACATAATTTTAATGAGAACATATTTTAAACAGAAGGGGAGGTCGATCAACCCAACCCCACCCTTTGTTATTCTTCTAATCTCCAAACTTTGGAAGCAAATCCTAACTTCAACAAGCTAGGGGGAGAAAGTTAACGAGCAGTGCTTATAAAATACAGCCTAGAGTTCGGTGCTTGGTTCCCTTACGGTGTCTGATGTCACTGGGAAGGTATCACGGAAAGTTAAGGTTTAAATAAACATTAGAAACTTAAAAAAGAAGGCGGCACATTCCATCTCCCCACAAACATCAGTGAAGGGGTAGAACCTGCAGACTTTACTTGAATAATTGGGTTCTATATAACCAAAGGGGTGTGAATTAATTTGACTGGACCAATCTGAGGTTCTCTCAATTTATATGTACTTGTGTGTTTGAGTATATATGTTCATATATAAATATACATGCACATTAGATAGCTAGATAATGTCACAAGGAACTTAAAATCTATGTTTATTATAACTGCGCACATCATACACCAAAAATGATCTGAAAAATTGTACCAGCAAAAGCCAATGTTTATAATACATAACCATTTAGAACATTTCTCTTTTTTCCTCTTACTTATATTGTTCCAATTATAAATAGTAAATTGATGTTAAACCAGCCTATTTACATGAAGGACATGTGCCAGGCACCCTTTCCTAAAAGTTAGCTTTGTTTTATCAAGCAATCTGTCTCCCCTCCTCCCCCTTCCATTATAATTAGCTATTGTATCATTATTCTATCATGGTTAATACACAGTTGGGCATGCTCCTTTTCCACCACCTAAATAGACCGAACTCTGAAATCAAACAGAAACATCCGAGTCAAGGCGAGATCAATAATTATCCTCATCCTAATTGTTGCTCTCTGCTTTTAGCCTATTTTGAACCCGGAACGACAGTCCTTGCTCCTGTGAACCGCGCACTGATGTCAATAGGAGGATGCATTTAAGTCAATGAAAGTTCTGCTGGCACGAGGACAGCAGCTTAAGTCTCTTTAGAACAACTGAGAGCTGTACACATGGGTGAGTCCATTAAGCAAATATGGAGTAACTGATGTTCTAAAAATGTATTTTGTAGATATTCAGATTTCTCCCTCCCGCCGACACACACACACACACACATACCCCTCGTGCTATAATTTTAACCGAGGCAGTACTCCCAAATAAAACTGAGAAAGTAGCGGAAATTATAGAGGATGCTAAGTATCAGGGGGTAGCCGTGTTAGTCTGTATCTACAAAAACAACAAGGAGTCTGGTGGCACCTTAAAGAGGATGCTCTTTGTCACTCTGAATATCTGACTAATCCAGTGTACACTCGTATGGAAATACCAAAAAACTCAGACATTTTAAATGTCCCCTTATATTGGGCATTTGTCTGCTCCTGTATTTGAAAAGATAGCAGTAATAAATAACAATAGCAATAAATTATAAAATTATAATATAATTCAGAACGGATTCCCAGTCCTGCAAACGACATATTCCTACCGTTGAAAGGCAACAAAGGTAAAACTGCATACATCACTCAACACCACAGATAAGACGTTGCTTAATCTATGTTTTGTGGTTGCTTTTTCAAGTCTTGTAAAGAATGTAATTCCCTTCTTTAAATTAATGGATATATTTGACTGTGTCTATTTGATCTCTCCTGGTGGGGAATATAAACCCATCAGTGCAAGTGTGAAATACTTCTATCTGAGAATTTTGGGGAGCAAAAATAATTATATCCAATGCCATTTGATAGAGAGATTGAATGGCCACTACAAAGTCGATTCTGTAATGAGTACCTTCTATTGTGCTTTTAGCCAGTATCATATTAAGAAATGGTCACTCTTAACTGATGATCAACAGAAGGATTTCATATGTGACACTCAAGAGACATTTACAAATAGAGGGACAATCCTGCTCCCATCGAAATCAAAGGGAACTTTGCCATTGCTTCAAATGGTAGCTGGAACAGGCCCATAATCGTGTGTGTGTGTGTGTTTCATATGAAATTTGAAGACATGAAAGGGCGTCAGAAGTGTTATCATTTACTTAGTGCAGCATTACATTTAGCAGCTTCTGCCTCGGGTACATATGTAAATAAAGAAAACTCTACCTCACATAGCAGAGCAATATTTGCAGTCACTTTCCCTTTTAACAATGAAGTCTGAAGCTAAGAGTTTCAAAAGGAAGGGCAAAATAAACTGCTTCTCTACTTCTTCATAACGCTTGTTAGTTTCTGATGGGGTCATTTTGCATTATGCAGAATTTGGAGGAGAAACAACAAAGAAATTGTATTTATTTGAAACAATCTGGTCTGAAATGTCCCGAATTCTATACTTATCTATATCTATATCTATCTATCTATTAATGAGAGAGAGAGAAAGAGAGAGAGAGAACGAATTCAATTAATAGATTTGTAGTCTGGAAAGACATTTGACTACTTTCATCACAGGGACAGGGGAGATGTTATTTATGAGATCTGGTATAAACGTGGGACACTCTGTGTAGGTGGGGCAAAAAGGAGTTCACCCCAAAGGTATGGAAGACAAAACTGATGTTTACGACTATATAAATCAATGTGAAGTTGTGTAATAGAAAATAGAACTAGCAAGAGTTTAGAACAGAGACTGAGGCAAGACAGAAAAACGAAAAGGGACTCCCCGGTCATGACTGAGAGAGCAGATTATAAAATAACAGTGTGGTAGGAAGTTTTACAACTACGCTTTAATGGTGGTGGTGTGTATTTTGAATCTTAGATAGATAGATAGAAGGGGTGTATGGAGATAGATAGATAGATAGATAGATAGATAGATAGATAGATAGATAGATAGTATCCGGGGCCTGATCCGGATGGATTGAAGCCCCTGGAAAAGTGCGGTGAGAGTAGGACTGATCCCTAGGATTGCTTTATTTCCAGAGCACATCCCAATTTACTTAACTAACTCATTCATTAATGAATAATGATAAATGTGATTCTAAAAGATGATGGAGGGAAGTTACTATTTCTTTAATGAAACTGAGATTACAGCAACGTTATAGAGCCCGATCCTGTCGTTTTAGTGCAAATGCCCTACTGTCATTGCTATCCTGGGAAACTTCCCAGCCCCCTGCTAGGGTGTTTTAACGACAGGTAGGATCAGGCCACTGGATTTCCAAAGAGATGGTGAGTTTTCCTGGTTCGTTACAACAGAATTGTTACGTCATTGTTGCAGGGTAACAGAGGAACTCCCTGGTCCTGTCCCTTCCCATCCCCCCATCTTTCAGTGCGAGTCCGTGGGCCTTCCAGCGCTGTTTTAAATATTGCATGCAAAATACATGAACAATAGAAAACGCTTTGGAAATAAATGCAAGTATCTAACGTTATCTGAGCAATTCCAGGGAGAATCATTAACCCTTTTCCTGGCCAGGGCTGGCTAAAACCCTCTAGATGGTTTTTAATAGATTTTTTGGTTGTTTTTTATTAACCATTGCAAGCAGTAGATGGGTCCCGGCCCGCCTACAGTGCCGTTAATTGCCAGGATCTGAGAGTTATTCCCCTTGTATTTTCTTTCCTGCTTTAGTTCAGGGCTATATTGCTTCACCCACTGTACGTGGATCCTTAAAATACTTCGATGGGCGCATTTCCCAGAGACATGAAAGTAGGTCACAGTTGACTCCAGCCCTTCTTTGGCTGATGCAAACGGCGCCTAGAATTCTTCTTTGTAACGCAGACTGGATTTCTTTTTCTTATCATGTGTAATGAATTATTTCTATTCGTGGAGTCAAATCGGTGGGAATTTGTGTTGCTCTATAGAAATGTAAAGCAAAAAACTTCCAACCAATCCCCTGACATCCTTTCACTAACAGGAAAATAAAACCAGCTAGGACGTGCATTCAGTCTAAACTGGGACAAATAGGTCACTAATTATCCAGATTTCTTGGACCGTCAATGTTCCATATTTGTCTAAACACATGCGTATATTAGTTCTAAGAGGGGAGGGTCCGGACAAAGGCTAATGGCATTGGCAGGGGCTAATCTGGTAGTTTTCCCATTTCTAATTTACGTTGAACAGTATTCTGATCTCATTTCCAACATTAACCCTGAGTGTGAATCCGGAGTCATGCCAGTGTCACTCCAGATTTATATTGGTGCAAATGAAATCAGGATCTGTCCCTATGTTCCTTATAAGTGTCACTTCCAACACAAAATAAGGTTTGCTTGGGAATTCTTTTTGCTATGATCTCATTCCTGGTGCTGCAGTTATACAAAAGGAGGGTATAGCTCATTCTGCCTTGTACATATCAACACCAAGCTTGATCCATTGAACATATAAATAGAGCAGAAATATCTATCCATCGATCCATCCATCCACACACATACAACTGGAACGGGTACAGTGTTACAGCAGTGGTGATCTCGGACAAAATGTTTCCTGTTGTTCCAGTGTTATGATAATACAGAGAACTTTGTTTTACTAGCTCATACTTGGGCTTGAGAAGATTTACCACTAATCTAGCTAATACAGGCAAAATTAAACAAAAGATCACGTTAACATGGCATGAGGTTTATTATGTCTGTTTAGAAAGAGGAGGAAAAGATGGCAAAATTATAGACACCTCTGAATCAGACAGAAATAAAATGCCAACATTTCTGAGAAGCAATATTTATTGTCATTTTTTTTAATGTAGAGACATATCCTAATTTTCCCAAAGCCCAGATTGGGAAAATAAAGACTTCTTGGCGTTATAAGTAAATCCGTCTGCAGAACTGAAGCAGCACCAACATTCAAAAAAAACTGAAGAGGAAAATACAACAAAACACAACAATTTTTATTCTTCTTATTATTTATGTAAATCAGGTCATCACTGGACAAGAAACCAATTTCTACCCATTACCATAACAGCTTGTCTATAAAGAACAGAAAAAAAAATTCAGATAGGATACTATCTAGTGTCAAGCGGTTTTTTTCTCTTTTTTTTCTTTTTTCTTTTTTTCTTTTTTTGTTTTTAAATCCCCCCACCCATTCACAGAGGTATAGATTCACAGATAAATAACTCAAAACTACTTGCTCGCCATATTTACACATTCCCGTTAAATTAAGCATAAATAAATATGTACAAACTTAACATTGAATGCCCCTCCGCATTTCTTTTTTTAGGAAGAGTCGCTCAGCTGATATTTCTCACTATTCAAGGTGATCCAAAAAGGAATCAATTTTGGCATAGAAAGGAGGGTGGTATCAGTTCCCACGTTTTCAGTTTTTAGGTTAATGTTTATAGTTATTTTTGTTTGTGTTTTTTATTTTTATAACATGTAGACATACTTTGGCACACAAGGGGTTACGATAGATAGGCTCTTTTGTACCGTCAGATATTTCTAAAATGTGGGGTTTTTTATAATGTTTTCTTTTACATTGGTATAAGAAAATAGAAAAAAAAATTAGTGTCCCTTTAAGTCAGAAGGGGTATTTTGTTGGATAACAGGGTAACAGAAAACTACTTTTTCAGTAGCTCTGGAGATCTTTAGGACCATTACTGGATCGAAGTAAGCTAGTGTTTCCTCCCCCTCCCCCCCCCCAATTAACAAAAGATTAAAATGGTACAAAATAAGAATCTAAGCAAAGCTTTTCAGAAAACATGAGCAGGGTAACTTTTAGTCTTAACAGCTCTGTCGTTTTCAAATTCGTGAGCATATTTCAGGGCTGCAGAACTAAAAAAAAACAAGCTCAAGGTATTTTGTTATAGAATTTGTTCAAGATACAAGACGGTAATTATTTAAATATATAGACACACAGGTACATTTAATTGCCCGACTAATCTCTGGTCAGGGACCCTATTGCGCTATCAGATTTTGGTTCAATAGAGACTTCTGGTGACATGATATGGCCCAATATTAATTAAATACACAGGTTTTTCCCCCATCCTACGTGCCATAAAACTAGCCTCCGGATTCGTTTATATCTCGTGTTAATAACCATGTGGCTTATCAGAAAAGCTGCAGGTGGCACAGGAACTGAGTTGTTGAACATGGGATCTACATGTATATATTAAACAAATTGTTTAAGGGGGAAATTAAATTTACAGTAACCCACCTGTTTGGTTTTAAAACAAACTTTTCAAGGTCTCTCCTTAAACGTTTCCCTTGAGTTAAAAGCAAAGCTGTCATGTTAATCCTCCTGTTTATTGATTTATGATCCCGAGGAAACCAAATCTTTTAATAACTCAATTATCAGATAAACGTCAAAGGTGCCTAGTCTGGGGAAGTGCAAAAAGACTGGGTAATGCCTTGCAATTAAGTTATACTTTAGCGATAGTTTGAGAGCAGGAGGCTGAATTATGCGTTTAGAGGGATAAATTGTTCAACAAAGTTATAATAATCAGTAATGGACGCCTGCTACCAGTTGCCAAATATTAGATTATGGGGGAATCAATTAGGTTTTAAACCCATGCCATGTTTTTGCAATTTAGAAATGTCCACGAGCTTTCTCTCATTACCGGCATGAGGGGGTGGGGAAATGTTCCACTGAAGTCAAGGGGTTGTTTGCCCGAGCAAGGAGAGAGCAGGTCGTGGCTGACTCTTTCAACCCCCTAGATATGTTTCATTGGAGACTAATCCAAAGTCTGTTGAATTAAACTCCTGTTGACTTCACTGGGTTTGGATCAAATCTCACGGGACCGATCCTGCTCCCACCAAACTCAAAGGGAGTTTTACCATTGATTTCAGCAAGGGCGAGATCGGAGTTCTTATAGTGCGTTTCTAGTGTATCTGCTCTGAAATTCTTGCAAATGGCATACCCTTTTCAGATAGGCTACAACATAGAGAAGTTGAACTGTAAACTCTTTAGGGCAGGAACTGTGTCTTCATATCTATTTGTACAGATGGGGACCTGGTGGTGTTTGGGGCTTCTGGGAGCTATTTCATAAATATGAAGCAATGATAGCCATTTGTGCTCAATACAACGCCTTTTGTGTTCAATAAGCCCACTTCGGCTGCTGCGCCTTGGAGAGTTTTTAGCTATGCCTGTTTGGCACGTGGTAAATGCTCTTGACATAGACCAGCTTCTGCTGCACTAGTTGGTGATTGGTTTCCAGAAACACAACTGTCTCTAACGGACAGAAACGAGAGACTTGCCTTGCAAGGAATGTTGTGATTAATTTCCACTCAAGTGTTTCCCCCCACATCACAGAGGCGGTGGGTAGGCTGTCTTGTAAGGAGACTGAATGATGATGTCCATAGGCTAAAGACCGCTGACTTCTCTTACAGGAGTGTCCCGGTGAAATTAAGGGGACTACTGGGAAGGATTTGGTCCCAGCTGTTCAGATGCTGTGTGAACAAGTAGAACCAAAGATCTCAGTGACCTGGCTCTGCCTCTCCGCCGTAGCTGGGAGCGCCTAGATTCTAATCCTGTCTCTGCTTTGCTGTGAGCCTTTGGACAAGACACTTAACCTTTCTGAGCCTCAGTTTACCCTTTCTGTAGAATGGGGATAATAATGTTTGTCCCCTGAGATTTAAATTAGGATTGAATTAGGGCTAAATTGTACGGGGTTAATATTCCCATTGGCTGGAATGGGGATATCCTGTAAATTAAGTCCAGTAGGGTTGGTTTTATGCATGCTCCAGTCCCTGGTTTGAAACGCAAGGTAAATTTCTCCTCTTACTGCTTGAAGATAATCCTCTATATTAACCGTAGCAAGGGTAGGAAAGCCAAAGAGGATATCAAATGTAAGTATTTAGGAAGTGTGGTATTCGTAGCTAAGCACGTGAGGATGGGTCTGGAAAGCGAAAGGCATGTTCGTTTATTTGTTTTAAGAAATAATTGTTGGGGAAATGGAGAAAGGGGCAATAGTTTTACACGAAATTCACCCCCCCCCTGCCGTTATTTAGAAAATAAAGACCACGTCCAAATGTTTGACTTTCTTCTCTTTGGGATTTCAGACCTGCCTGAGACACAATGAATTCAGTATCTGATCTCAAGTTGAAATAGAGGGTGACATCCTAGCCCCATTGAAGTCAATGGGAGCTTTGCCATTATCTTAAATGGAGCCAAGATTTCACCCAGCGACAGTAGCTTTTCTGACATGTGAACGGATTCCTTAATGCATGAATCTCTACCCCACTGAATAAATACAATTATCCAAGACTGAACAATCCAAGCTGAAATTCATCTCCTTAAGCAGAAGTATTATTTCCCATATATGCCATAGAAGGGCATGTCTTTAAAATGTATATTAGTCATAAAACATCATGTAATGCACCCAATGACTGCAAAACAAAAACAAACAAACCCCACAACATCGGTGCTATTTTTTCCTCCTATTGCATTTGTTCTAAAACAAGAGTCACAGAAACATCTTAATAAATTTCTAGAGAGAAATAGATTTCCTCAGAGTGAGATAGTCATTCAGGACACTCTCCTGCAATCCCACCCCGCCCCTAGTAGGCACCCACACAATTGCATTTAGCAACTCCTTTCGCTTTGTGTATCAAACACTAATGCCCAAGCAAGTGTTTGCAACAACCCTTCGACAAAACGGTATTCTTCTTCTTAATATTACATCTCGATTTCAGTTATTTTTAATCTGGTTTCAATTATTCCCTTTGAGCTTCTTTAAAGAAGTACACCTGCAGAATTCTGAAACCACTGGCTTTGATTTAAGAAAAAAAAAGTATTAGAATCGTGGATTATTTTTCTCTGTACCTGATATATTGTGTAGGGAGCTCTAGTCCTCTTTGAAGAAGCTCATAAGCCAAGCGGGCAAAGCTTTGGGAAACAGAAGAAAATAAAATAGTGCATACTCCTGAGAAGGAATTACATACTCAATTTTTGTTACTAGCACTTCTTTTAAAAAAAATGGGTAGATCTCTCTCAATACACCCACACTATTAGAACAAATTAAATGTAGAGACATTGGCATTGTTGGGAATATAAACCCTTTAGAGGAAATTAGGATACCTTAAATATAAGATTAGGAGTTTTAAACAGCATTAACATCTTACTGGACCTTATTTTCAAATTTTGCACCCTAAGAGCCAATGCAGTTTTGCCATCAATGCTAAATACCAAATTATACATGTATAGTTGTAAACACTGGTAATCTAAACAGAGGGTCTGTCTAGACCAGGAAAAAAGGGTGCCTTTTAAAAATCGAGTTAGTTAACTGGATTGAGCTAATATGACTTGAAACACCCAATGTACTGTAATTAATGTAGACACTGTAATTAATGTAGAAACAGTTTAATACATTTACAATTCTATTAGCAAGTCATAGTGTAGCCTTTGCTACCCAAACCAGCCCCTTTTCTAGTCTATATAGATCCAGAGGAGCAAGGTAAGATGAGGGCAGGGTTGGAAGTGAGGGGTGCTGATGCTAGGAATGGAAATGTCCCAGATAATATTACTGGAAGATTTTTTGTTTTCCCTAGTGTAGACACAGGACACTGTTTGATTAAAAAAAAATAGACTGTACATCTGAGCCCAAACAAGAAACCAACGCACTGACACCAAAGCGTTTCTCTGATTTCTTCCAATAAGTTATTCATTTCTTCCTTTTATTATTTTATTTTGCCCCCTCCCTCCCAAAAAAATCATTAAAAAAAGTGAGAACAGAAGTGGAAAAATCCTGGTGGTTGTCTTCAAATGTTCCGTGTAAGAGACATTGAGCCACTGTTCTTGCTCCATTGTGCGCCTCTGATCTTAAGTTATTGTCTTTCTTTTTTATTATTATTTTTGTCCTACCTAATATAATTCTTCCAAATCCCAATCCAATATTTTAAAGCTAAAATTAAAACTGTTTTGTTTGTTTTAAAAGATTCTCTCTCTCTCTTTTATTTATTTATTTTTCTCCTTTTTTTCATTTTCTGTGTTTCTCTTCCTTGTCTCCAGTTTTACTACCTGGTCCTTCCCCAGATGTGTGCCTGTTAGCAGTGTTGTTGTTCAAGAACATCTTGTCCATGCCTTTGAGAGCTTCAGTCAGGTAGTTTTGGAGGGCTGTGAGGGCAGCACAGATGGCTGGGGCCCCAAAGCCATGGGTGATGAGGCTGAAGTGAGTCAAGCAGCTCTGAATGCCTGGTTCCAAAATAGGGCTGGGTCTGCTGTTGCCAATGGGTGTCCTGTCCTGGGCCAAGAGATCCGTGAATTCTTTACAAAGTTGCCTGCAAGGGTAGTAAAGAGAAGGAGAGAGAGAGAGAGCGCCCAGAGTAGTCAGTCACTTCACTTCTCTTTGATTAACACTTTATACACAGCCTGAGACTTCCAAGGTGTTGGACATGCATTAAGTTACAAAGACTGGCAGCTGCCCCTCTCATTCCACCTTCCCCCAACCACACACACACTAGGAAAATGTACTATAGTCATTTTACACATAAATAAACTAGAGTGCAAGGAGGCTGAGGGCCTTGCCCAAAGCCTACTGAAGTCAATGAAAGACTCAAACAAAGGCATCACAGACAATCAGTAGTGAAGTTAGATACAGAACTCAAGGCTCCTTACTCCCACCTTCCCTCCAACAACAGACAGAAGGATCCTGATTTCATGACCTGATGCTGCACTCCTTACCCCTCCACAACTCCCCATTGTCCAAGGGAGCAGGAGGACTGCAAGAATAGGCCCTTGCCTGGCTATTTCCTTACAGAGTTTGATCAGTAAAGAGAAGAAGGATTCCTAGTAGAGTTAATCATACTCTTTCAAGTACACCTCTTCTTCTCTGACTTAGAGACTTTTTATTCTTGGGCCAGAAAGATGCTTCTGAAATGCCATCTATCTTTTTTTTAATGTTTTATTTAGTCTATTTATTGCCTTTAGAATTAGCCAGATTGCCCTAAATGATAGATAGATAGATAGATAGATAGATAGATAACTGCTATCTGGAGCTTGATCCTGGTATTATTAAGTATATTATTAGTTATTATGATTTTTGTTATTGTTATTATTTTCTCAGAGATGAATACTACCTAGCCTTCATGTGAAGGCAATACCACCAATAGCCTGTAAATGACTCATTGGGATGACTGCTAAGTAGGATTGCTGAATACCAAATGTAGTCAGGTCTTTCTCTTCCCATGAATCCTGAATGAACTCTTCCCATGGGGGGAGGAGAGGAGGGGGTTGTTCGATGATGTAAGCCAAGAGTTGCAACAGTGACTAGAGAATGTGGGTGCCTCTGTTTTCAGAGAGCCCCGAACACTCCCCTTCTGGACACCAGGCCCCTTTGAGACATCCTCAACTTGAGACCCCAAATCCCTTTTGAAAATCGTGGCCTGTCATGTCCACACATTCGGTCATAGTCTGTAGATGCTTCCAGACCGTCTTGCACATGGGCAGCATTGTACAGATTCTGTGCCCAGCAGGGTATTTTATATACTACAATAAGGGGGGGGGGTCCCCATGATCATCTGACTCAGGCTCGTTCTTTTTAAAATCAGGTCTCGCTGTATCGGCTACTCCTGGAATCTGTCTCGCTCTTCTTTCCAGTCCGCCCGGTGGCGTTTGTTTGTAAAAGCTCGGGGGCCCTACCGGCGAGCGCCAGGCCAGCACCACCGCGCGCTCCACGAGCACAAAGGGAGCGCTAGCCACCAGGTACAGCTCTGCTGGTGCAACAAACGGGAGGTAAGGTCAAAGCGACAGCCTTTGCCCGGGGCGATAAATAGACACCAGGGACGGGTTGCTGCTCTACTCTTGCCGGGATGAAATGAACACAAGCCACCTTTTGGGGAGCACCGCTTCGAAGCAGGGGGTTTGACGTTTGGTGCTTGTTTATCTTTAAAACAGCTCCTTTGCCACCTTGGAGGATGAAAATTGAATCCTTCCCTTTTCATTTAGTGGCTAAACCTCCCTTCACCCCACTCACAAGGCCCCCAGTTAAACAGGTGCATCATCCCAGGGCGAAATAGAAACCCAGAGGGGAAATGATAATCCTCCCTCCCCCACAAATAATAGCAACATTGAGGTAGGAAAGAAGAGTTCATCTGTGATCCTCTGAAATTCCCGATGGGTTAAAGAGTTCAGAGGGTGGGGAAAGATAAAAGTCTTATCCACTAGGAAAGTGCAAAAGAGGAAACTTTGAGTTTGCAGAGCAAACGGTAATGAGTCAAACCCTTTAAAGCTTCAAAGAGCAAGGCAGGTCTGCGAGCAATTAAAGTTCTGGGACATTAATATCTTTTGACCCCGCGGAAAAGGGCAATCAAATTCCAATCACGTCTAAAAAAAACATCTGGACACATTTGAGCAAACGATTTTCCACGCCTCCATATATTTCTTTAAATTGTGCTGTCAGCGGAGCAAGCGACGTCCCAGAGCCACTAAATAGCTTGGGGTTTGCCTGCGACAGAGTTAATATATGGGACACACCCAGAGCTCACCACCGAAAACCTGATCTGCCCTTAAAACATCAAACCATATAGCGCGAGAGCCAACGACAGGAGTAAATCAAACAAAATAGAAAAAGCTTCTGTAAAAGTTCCAGAGACCTAGATGTAGTGGCAGGTTTACAAGGTCCCCTTCTGGAGCTGCAGCTGCGCATTTCTCAAGGTGATTAACGGTACACATTTTGGGGAGGGGAGATTGTAAATTAGTTGGTCGGGGTCTTTGATAGACAAGGCCGCTCGCTCTTGAAATCAAGGTGAGTTTTTCCTTTGACTTCAGTGGGAGTGGAGGCAAGGCCTAGCCACTCCTACACAGAGAGAAGCGTGAAATACACAAATAGAGAAAGAGAGGAATGCACACTCAAAAACAAACAAGAGGAGAGAGAGAGCTGCAAACTCATACACAAGGAAAGAAAGAAACACGGAGACTCAAAACAGGCGGGGGAGGAGAAAGGGGTGGGGGAGGGGAGAGAAATAGACACAAACATGGGGACACGTGCACACTCACACAGAGAGAAAGAGTCAAACCACAGTGTGTTTCATGCGCACACAGCTCCAAAGACGCTGTTACAGCTCCAACGATACGCACGGGCACGTAGTGTTACAGGTCCACCATACACTACAATCAGACCCACGGACAGGAACACACCCAGAGCACAACCTCTCCCCCACACACCCAGCGCACAATGACGGACGACAGCGAGAGAGAAGAGCACAAGAGAGGGAGATCGGAACAAAGCCTGTTGGAGAAAGCGCTGCTGGGCTCCTTTGCAGAGAATGGCCGCGTGGAGGAGAATGAATGTCAAACTCTCCAAGTGGCGGCCCTGAAAGCAAAGCGGGCTGTGGACTCACTTTGTAGCCAGGAGCATGTTCTTCCTGGAGTGGAGATCGCTGGGGTCCGTGTGCTGTCTGTTCAGGTACTCGGAAACAGCTTTGGCTGGAAACTCCGTTTCACAGATGTATCCAAAATCCCGAGCTAAGTGAACAGCTTCACCTGAAGAGAAATGAACAGCCTTTGATCATCACAGGCCAGCATGGTTGTTTAGTGAGGAGGCTGACCAGAAAATGGTTCAACCGAACCGGCTGGAATATACTGAAACACGTTATTGCTGGTGGTACTGGTCACGCTTTGAAAAGATCAGCTCAATTTGGCACAACCCCAACTGAATTCAATGACAAAGACGGTTCCCTGGGTGTAGGAGCCCATTATTCTTGTATCAGTCTCTTTCTGCAGAGCACATCCCCAGTTTTTGGCTGAAGGGGTCTTCACATGGCATGTATTGTCTTAGCTCTATTGACTTCAGTTGAGTTTGGTGATTTACACTGGTTGCGGTTCTAGTCCCACGTGCAGAGAAAAAGTGTGTTATTAATACATAGGTAATATAGACTTTCAAGTGTGTGAAAACAAAAGAGACGT